TCTTCCTTATTAAGTTGTGATATGCATATTTATGTGCACTTATTGGAATACTGGAATAGGATTGTTCTGTGTTTTTATGTTGGAATTAGTAGGTTTCTTTTTCATGGTTAGTTGAATAAGGAGTGTATGGTATATATTATGTTTATGAGGTGCTCATTGATGTAGTTAAGAGTGGAGTTTACTTCAGCTTTTTAGGGAGTAAGATTATTTGATATGTATGTTGTATAAATGTATTTGAAAACAGACACATCAAATATGGGTCTCCTTTAGGTAGAGTTTGAATTGATAGTTCCTTGCCTTGACTGCATGTCTGGGGCTCATTCACACTTAAGCTTACCTGATAGAGAATGTTCATCTTTATTTATTTTTATTTGTTTTTATAAAGATATACATGGATGTAGAGTATATTTTGACATTTATACGTACATGAGTATAACTTATTCTAATTAGAACCCCATTCTTGTGATTGTACTAAATGTGGAGTTTCTGGCCATGTATTCATATATGAACATAAGAAAATTATGTTAAATTAATTCTTCTGTCCTTTCTATTCCCATTCCCTTCCCTTTGTTCCCTTTGTTTAATCCAGTGGACTTCTATTCTTCCCTCTCTCCCCACCTTATTGTGTGTCAGTATCCACATATCAGAGAATATAGTTGGCCTTTGGATTTGGGGGATTGGCTTATTTTACTTAACATGATAGTCTCTAGTTCAAATCATTTACCAGCAAATGCCATAATTTCATTCTTTATGTCTGAGTAATATTCCATTGTGTATATATACCACATTTTCTTTATCCATTCATCCGTTGAAGGGCATTTAGGCTCGTTTCATAGATTAGCTATTGTAAATTGAGCTGCTGTAAACATTGATGTGGCTGCATCACTGTAGTATGCTGATTTTAAGTCCTTTGGATATAAACTGAGGGATGGGGTAACTGGGTCAAATGGTGGTTCCACTCCATCTCCATCCTGCTTTCCAGAGTGGTTGCACCAGAGCATTCCCACCAGCAATGTAGGAGTGTGCCTTCCCCCTCCACATTCTCACTAACATTCATTGTTGCTTGTATTCTTGATAATTGCCAGAGAATGTGCAACTTGTAACTGAAGCACAAAGTTAGGTGGAGGAGGCCTAATAAGCTTTCTTTTCTGGGGTTTCCCAAATTCTCTCTTAAGCTTTATTTAAAAAGTGCTTGCTGCTTTGAAGCTCAGAGTCAGCACTTAGAACATTTTTCATTGCTTTGCAGTATTAAAAATCACACAGAAAACCTTGTTTGGCTTTATTGATAGTTAATTTAATTCGATTTGTGTGTTTTTAAAAACTTTTAAAAAGCTATATATAAGTTCATAATCATGTTTATGAAACACTTGGATCCAAAGGAGTTTCAGAATTTGATTTTAGAATGTTAATATGAGGGCATATCTGTTTGTGATGATTACAGGCAGCACCCTGTGATCAAACCTACTAATATTTCCAGAAAGCCTATGAATATCCACACTTGAATACATAAGTCTGATAAATCATAGAGATTTAGGTCAGGTTTTGCCACCAGTAGTTTATAGCAGTTATATTTGAAAATATTTTATTTTTCAGATTTCTTTAGATTTTGAAATAGACTAAGAAATTTTGGCTCTGAATTCAATTTATGTATATTACTATTTAATGCTTTTAAAAATCCCCCTCCCCCCTTTTTTAAGACAATGGAACACAGGTGCTTCTGAGTAGCAGGGATGGTGCAGGAAGGAGGGCATCTCTAGCAAGATGGCCAACTTATACATAGTCTCCTTGCCAAACTGGGCAAGGAACCTGCATGGTGCATCTGGTTAATGAAGCAGGGGTAGGGAGCCCAAGAAAAGTTTAAGTAGAAGGTTGTTATAGTGTTCAACAAAACAATGGGAAGTTGTTCACAGGTCTGAACATCTTGGGGATGGGTGGAATTTACTTCTTCCTTAGTGCCAGCTGACACTTACTGTACTTTAAGTGTTTTGTAAATCTCCAGAATGATGTCTAGTGCTAGTAGAAATCAGCAGTCATAGAAGATTTTCCATTCAGCCATTTTCAATCCAGATTCTACCAGAGAAACAACAGTAGGGGAAAAGAAGAGGGAGGAGGGGAGAGAGGGATAGATATTGATTTAGTGAAAAAATTGTCTTGTGATTGTGGAGCTGGCAAGTCTAAAATCTATTTCTGCAGGCTAGAAAGACTTGAGTAGGAGCCAAACCTGAAGTCAACAGGTGGAATTCTTAAAACTTTGGCTTCTAAATTTGGTTTTCATTTCTCTTGTTTTAAGAGACATGACTTAAAGTAGTGTCATTCATTCATTTGAAGCAAAACCCCAAAAGTAAAACATCTCTGAGCACATTGCAGGTGTTATATATGCTAGGTGTTGGGATATGATGGGCACATTCCATTCCATGAATCTAACTAGCCTGATATGATTTATCTACTAACATGAAATCAGTCAACTTATATTCTAAAGCCAAATTAGTTAAATTTTATTTATTTTTTAAATAATGAGTCTAATTTTTTTTGGGGGGGGGGTTGTTTTGTACCAGGGATTGAACTGAGGGGAACTTAAAAGCCACATCCCAAGCCCAATTTTCTTTTTTGTTACTTTGTTTTGAGATAGTAGCTTGCTAAGTTGTTGAGGCTGACTTTGAATTTGTAATTCTCCTGCCTCAGCCTCTTGAGCCATTGGGATGACAGGTGTGTGCCACCACACCTATTGGTCTCTTTTACAGTTGACATGTGGTTCTGGAAGTACCCTCCTTTACCCTGAATACAAAAGCTGGCCTCTAAGGAGACAGAATTGAAGTCAGTGTGTTTATTTAGTTAAAAATATGGTTTTTTTTTTTACAAAATTTATTTGGCTTTCAAACCTCAGCAATAGTAAGTGGCATTTAAAATTTGGAGAAGACTGGTAGAGCCAAGTAAGAAGCAATGCTATTTGTGGGAGGGAGGGTACCAGGGATTGAACTTAGGGGTACTTGACCACTGAGCCACACCGCCAGCCCTATTTTGTATTTGGAGACAGGGTCTCACTGAGTTGCTTAGCACCTTGCTGTTGCTAAGGCTGGCTATGTACTCGCGAACCTCCTGCCTGAGCCTCCTGAGCCGCTGGGATTATAGGCATGGGACACCGTGCCTGGTCAAGCAATGGTATTTTTAAATCAGGGGAAAAAAGGGGATGAACGGCCATATGAAACAGACACAAAATAAAAACATTAGTGTGCAGGGTTTCAGAACCTCTGCCTTCATTCACTCTTCCCTAAAGAAGCGAGGCTTGCCCCGTATGTGAACTGGGGAGAAGGGCCTAGAATATGCAGCTCTAACCTATTAGTGTGAGTTTGGTGGCCTTTAGAAAAGGTGGTCTTTCTTTCCATTCTCTATAGGGAACCATGAGAGTTGGGACACTGCAGTTCTGCCTGTGATCCCAAAGTTTTTTTTAATTTAGCTGTGAAGTCCTTTTTGCAGCAAACCTAATGTCTTTACAATTAAAGTTTATATTTTTATTGTCTTCTTTTTGATTCATGTGTCTACTTTTCAGTTTGGTTCATAAAAGAAGTCAGGGTTTTTTTAGATCCCTAAAACATTAACACTCCATTGTCTACCACCACTTTGTATAATGAGTCTGTCTATGCACCTTGTTAGGTGTGTTTATCATCATGACCTTGGACCTTCAGTGAAAATTTAAAGTACACCCTATAATGTATTAATAATTTTCAGATACAGACCATCTAAATTTTTCAATCTAACAAGGGGTAAATTCCTTATTGTTGGAGAATGCAGCTATCTGTACAGCTTCTTTCAAGATGATTCCACTTAACTGAAGAGGAAAAAAAATCAAATTTAAACATTCCCCATATTTCTCCTTGATTGTTTTTCTTGATCTACTGTCATCTGAACACCATCTTTTGGACATGTACTATGAGAACCAAGCTAAGTTGGTGATCCTATGTTAGGTCAACAGAGCTTGAAGACATTTGTTTTTCACAGATATGGTACAGGAAGTAAATATGAGAAAATAGCAGAATGGTTTACTATGACCATAGGCATGTTGTGTTAAGAAAGCAGTATTGATTTTAAAATTCAGGATTTAACTTAATGGAAAAGGTGAATACCAATTTATAATTAGAAGCATACCCCCCACCCTGCAAAACTTTAGGATCATTACGTTTATAGAGTTTTCTCTTAACGGCTTAGAGAGCATTGTGTTTGTATTTGCAACTGAATGTGTGTATGTATACTCACTACTTCAAAACCAGGGAGTTGTGAGCAACACTGTTAAATTAGCACCTCATTAAAGCAGCACTAGAAATAGTTCTTTCTCTGGATTCTGAGACTAGAATAAGAACTTGAACTTGGTATACATCCTATAATTAGGATGTTCCAATGCTCTTGGTCTTGCTGCATCTTTAGCTGTTTGGTGATTCTTATTGTAGCACTGTTTATAACAAAACAAAAGCAAATCCCACCACAGAAAGTGGCGACATCTTTCAAAGTAAGTTCCAGGCCTCTATAAAATGGACTTGCTTTCATAGGTTCAGCATCCCAAGTGTTTTAATCAACCCACACAATTACTTGCCACACTAAACATACTTTCACCAAAGGTTAAGAGGGATTTAGAAGGCAGTCTCCAGTCTCTGTGGTATAGAGGGAAGCATGCAGTCTGAGCAGGTAAGAGTCCCACCACTCACTACTTGATCGTGGAAGATGAAAACAACACTTTGGGATTCAGTTTCTTTATTTGTCCAATTGGCACTGTCTCATTTGTACAGTTGTCATATAGTCTGGTGTTTGGGATAGAATGAGAATATATCAGTGTTTCCAGAGAAAACAGCTATGCAAAAATTGGGTCATAGTTTGGGTCAATTCCAGTAGTTCTCTGTGACCTGTGACTTGCCCTGAGTCTTTGTCATCAGTACCTTGAGGGAGAATATTACTAACCTCAAAGAATTGTTTGTAGGGATTAAAGAAAGTAAGAACCATGGAGTCTGAAATATGTAGGTTGATTTTTATTGCTAATTGACAATATATATAAAATAACTTATTTTTTTGTAATTTATTCAATTGACTACATATTGTAAATCAGATCAACCTCAAATCACCTTTGAAACCTGAATATTTTCTTGTGAAGCCTGACACACTGTATGAAGCTGCAGGAAGAAGGAGACGCGGTATAGAACTTGGGACATTTTTGTATTGACCAGTTCTACTTTTGTGAAGAGTTAGATATCCGCTGTTGAACACTATAAATTAATTCCACACCCAAATTCGACATTTTGTTGAACATTGACATGTATGAGAGATGGAGAAGAGGGCTAGGAAAAGTCACAATTGTTCTGATGAAAATTAATCCAGTGGAATAAGCATTCTTCTGACATTCTGATTTTTGTATCTAACATCCACAGGTCACCTGGAGATCATGTGGTTTTGTTTTTGGTGCATTCCTCTGGAAAGCCTGTCCTCCTCCCAGTTCTCATCCTGTCTCAGTCTTGCAGGATGTCTGGCTGCCCCCTAAGTGGAAAGGTTCAAGGCCACAATCCCAGGGAAACAAGGCAGGCGGTCTGTGGAAGAGGCAGTGGTTCAGAGACAGACGTGGCTGTGTTCCTGGCACGTGGTATCCACACCAGCCACAGACAGATAGAGCTTCCCATCCGGACACACACAGATTTCATAGAGTCCCTCCGGGCCACCAGAGGGACTCCAAGTCCCCTGTACCAGCTTGGGTAGACGAATGGTTTCAGTATCAAGCACCAGCTGTTTGGAAGAAAGAAAGGGATGGGATGCTAAGGAGGAATGAAATGGATCAACAGGAAATTCATATTCTCACAATGTTTCAAGAAGATTAGTTTTTTCTCATAGAGAAAGAAACAGGCACCTGACTTGAATTAAGCCACATCACAATTATCTGTTGATTTAAAAACCTACTTCACATTTGCATGCCGGCAGGGGCCAGACAATTCCTCCTCCAAATTGGAGGGAGGCTGCTCTTTGTTTTTTTAGTCCAGCTGGAAAAACTGACCACTCCTGACACCATGCTATGCCCTTACAATTTGTGTGTTCAATAAACTGGATTGCTTTTCAGTACTATGATACTACACTCCTAAAAATTCCTTTCAGAATTATTTGACAAAAATATCACAATTCTGTCAATTCCCATTTATCTTATGAGCCAATTTGACTTCATGTTAAATTATCTCCTCATTAGGATGATGTACAATTCACAGAAATAGATTCATCTTGGTAATTTTTACCTGTAAATGTTGGAATTTATCCTGATTTTATCTGTGATTTTGTTTTCCTATGAGAGACAATTAAATTACTCTTGTTAGCAATCAACTATTGCCCTAACATTGTAAGATTGTTTTAAGATTGTTTGAATTTCCACTTCTAGATGCTAAAAACAATAGATTTACTGATGAAAGCCAATTCAAATGTGATAAAGGTGACTAGACCGTCTGGTCATATTATAATTTAGTTAAATTGAAATGCAAACACATAGCTATTGATGGAGGCTTGGGAACATTTTTAATAAAGAAGTTAAGAATCATCACACTGAGCAGGAGCATCTAGCTGATCCTTAGCCATCCCAGTATGCTTACTGGAGGGAATTAAAATAGGTTGTGGTTGGGCATAGTTTTCTTCCTTGCTGACAAGGTTAGGTCCTTCGTTTATTTCATGTAGCTGTAACCCTGGAATTGCAATCTTAATCAACTGGTGTCTGTCTGCTTTCTACCTTCTCCCTGAGACACGGGCCCTGCTGTGCATGGTGCGAGCAGCGTCACAGGCAGAGCTTGCCTTACTTACGTGGCCTGGCACATTGTTAGAGTAGAGGAAATCGAATGGAAATTATTGTTTGAAACTCAGGTGTCCAGTACATGAAATTCATTGGGTCCTTGCTTTTCCCCAGTGTTTTTAACTTGTTGGTTTCTTTCCCTTTCCTTGCGGTTAATTGGACATTTTTTTTTCTAGTTATTTTCTAGCTGTTATTTCTTTTCCTACACTTTCAGCAAACGGTTATCACTGGCAGCGCACATACCTCTTCCTTGCTCGTTTTCATTTGCTCTTAGAGGACAATATTTGGTTGGGGGGGAGCTGAACATCTACCACTTCACTTTGAACTAGCTCCTAGTAATAAGAAATATCAACTTTAATTATGGGTCTGATCATGTGCTACTTGTAAAAACGATGCCTTAAGTGACACCATTTCAACATTAAGATCAGTTTAATGTTTTTTGAGGATTATACATTTTAAGTGCATAATGATGCTATGACTCCACAGTGGGATTCCAAAATTCTTGGTTTCCATTTCTGCTTTATCTGTTCTTTGTAAGCTCCAGCTGCAGGGGGTTCTCCAGGTGACTTTTATGTCCACCTGTAGGCAGCTAGCTGTTAGGTGCTGTCCACCCACCCTGTAACAACCTCTCATGGCCTGTTTGAGGACAGTACATGTGCATCTCAACTGCACCTTCCTATTAATATTGATGTCATTTCAAAATATTGTATTAATGTTTCAAGACACTGTGACATTGTTAAGAAAATATTTTCCTGCTTGATAAATGAGGAGACAGACCCGGGGAGAGCCACTGAACTTTTCTGAACTTGGGTAATGATCTAGCAGTAGATTGGGCTTCCTGACTGACAGCTGAATCCTTAGGCCATTGCACTGTTGTGATAGGTATGATGGTCCGACAGGGCTGGGGAAGGAGGGTAGATATCCATATACCCTCTCCTTGTACCAACAGCTTCCACAGACTGATTACATGCACTGGAGGCATAAGGAGTATAACCTGCACCATTCATTGCAAATTGTAGTTAAGTTGGAGCTGTTTAAAAGGAAATCCATGGACCTGTGGCTTATCCTAAACACATGAAAATACCTAGGGACAGGCGAGAGAAGATGAGATCAGTTGTTTGTGCACATTTGTAAGACAGTATCATGTGATTGGAATCAGCTTTTCTGCCAAACCCTGGGTTTTTTTACCTAGAGCTTTAGGAACATCCCTAGCATGCCTTATTTTCTGGCTGACTGAAATCGAGTTTTTCCTTTTAAAAATAAACAGTGTTCCAACAAGTGACATCGAGTGACATGTGCTCCATTGTGTCATTATGACTTTGACTTCTAAGAGTGGTGTTTTATTTCTAGACTTGAAGTCCCAGATTATACCCCTATTGTCGTTGACTTTCAAAAAATGCTCTTATTTTTCACCTTTCATCTTCATTTAAACTTGATTCTGTGTTAGTGCTCTGGGCATTACCAGACAATGATTGTCATTTATAGATAACCCCCAGTGACAGCCAGCCTGAGAGTAGTTGGGTCACTAGGAAACGGCAAATGATATTTTCTGTAAGCTCTGAAAGTTGGTAATGTTTTTACAAAGTTGAAAAGAATAAGAGATTGGGTAGCACAAATGCCAACGAAAGCTGTCCTGCTCTAATGTGGAATAATTCTCACCTTTCTTGGCCCTTTCGATGCTGAAGTGTCTTTTGCTTTCCTTTCACATTTTCTACAATATGGATTTTATGATGTTTCATTAGAGAACAACCCGAAATTTAATATCTGATACCTTGATGGACATGGCTCAGGAATTTCATCACAGGACATACACAGGATGAACTCACCATTCCATCACTGCTCTGCAAAATGACGTCCATTTGAGAAAGTGCCTCGATTTTCCCAGCATGAGCTTTAATATGAACCCCCCTCGGGGCATCCATGCTCAGACTCCGTGTGGGGGATTCTAACCTGAAGTGAGAAAAAGAAGCCAAGAAAAGTTATTACTTAAAAAGCCACCCTGGAGCCAGGTGTAGTGCTGGGCACCTGGAGCCCCAGCTACTTGGGAGGCAGAGCCAAGTGTATCACTTAAACCCAGAGGAAAGGAAAAAATAGCCACCCTAGCAATCCCTCGAGCAATGGCTTATCATAGAAGGTACAATTAACCAGGGATATCGAATCTTTGAGTCGTTCCTAAATGCCGACATGCTGTGCCTTATTCATTGATAAATCAAAAAATAATGTGTAGTAAAGAAAGAAATGTGCTATCCACAAGAGCCTATGTAATTAGTGTCCTTTAAAAACGTAGACAGTCCTAATCCTGTGCAGCGTTCAGCTGGTATGATTATAAACTTGGAGGCATTCCACACCAGAAGAAAAATTCCATTGTGAAGGACTCCGTAAAACTATTAGAGTATTTATTTAAAACACAAACTTATTTGGAAAACAAAAAACTGATTCAAGATCAACACATGCTTTGGGCACATGTTTGGCCTAGGTTTTCTTTCTCCTTCCTTTTTTCTTTCTTTCCTCCCTTCTTCCTCTTTCCTCCCTTGTTCCCTCTCTCCTCCCTCGCTCTTTCTCTTCTCCCTCCCTCCCTCCCTTCCTTTCTTTAACTTAGAAAGATGGCAGGGCAGATGAAAAGATTTCTTTTGGAACAAGACTGAAGTGATTAAAGTGAATAGAAGAGAGTTGGCCTCAGCTGGCTTTGTTTTAGCAAAATTTATTACAATCGGATACAGGAATATACAATTCAGAAAATTTTTTATTTGCCTCTACCTGGAGAAAAATAAATTTCCACCAGATGGCACAATGTGATCACTGGAATATTTTTTTCAGCTGTTTAGCCCAAAAGTTTGAAAAGCTCAGTTCACACTAATGTGTCAAGATCAGCGAGAGGGGGCTGGGGTTGTGGAATCAGTGGTAAAGCACTTGCCTAGCACATGTGAGGCCCTAGGTTCCATCCTGAGCACCACATAAAAAATGAATAAACAAATAAAGGTAATGTGTCCATCTACAACAACAACAACAAAAAATGTTTAAAAAAATCAGTGAGAGGGACAATAGACAGATATGCAATTCAAAATTCTTTGCAATGTAAGGTAGGACTGGATGGGAATAGGGTTAGGAAAGAGAGAGAAAGAGGTATGGTTTAAGGAGAAATGCCTTAAGAATGAATTTGCTTTTAAATTAATATTAATTTGATAAATGGATTTTTTTTTTTTTTGATGCTGGGGTTCCAACTCAGGGCCTCACACATGCTAGGTAAACGCTGTACCACTGAGCTACTCTTGGTAGAGGGTTTTTTTTTAATATATTTTAAATTTTTTTACTTATAGATTCACATGATATCTTTATTTTGTTTATTTATGGTTTTTTTGTTTATTTATTTTTATGTGGTGCTGAGAATTGAACCCAGTGCCTCACACGTGCTAGGCAAGTGCTCTGCCACCGAGCCAACAACCCCAGCCCCTTGGTAGAATTTTAAATCAGATGGATACTACCTTTAGTTGGAGAATTATTTACCCATCACTATGATAGAAGACAGATTTCATTTTTGTACCTATATCAGAGCGTATAAAAATTTTACTTCTCCCACATTTTGAAATCTTGAATATGAGAAAACCCTTAAAAGACATTTATGGAATTTATTGGTCATATTAGGTTAGGCTCCACTTATGGGGAAATGCTTTGGTGTATCTAAATGTACTTGCTCTGGGGGCTGGGGGTTGTGGCTTAAGCGGTAGCGTGCTCGCCTGGCATGCGCGGGGCTCTGGGTTCGATCCTCAGCACCACATACCAATAAAATAAAGATGTTGTGTCCACTGAAAACTAAAAAAATAAATATTAAAACAAATTTCTCTCTCTCTCTCTCTTTAAAAAAAAAATGTACTTTCTCTGGTCCAGCTTGCTAGTTTGACCTCTGCTAACTGCCTACACTTTTCCTGTCTGGGTGGAAGGGAAGGAAGGAAGAACACATAGGCAACTCTGAGAGGCCTGGCTCATTTAAGCAACCCATGCGTGCCCTAGGAGGTCCCAGTGAAGTTGAATGTTTCCAAGACCAGTTACTAATTAACAGCAATGAGTTCAAAATGACCATGTACTACTGCATAGGTGGAAAGATGTGATACCTTTTCTCACCATCAAAAACGGTCCCAGCCAACACTCCTCCTCCCATAGACAGGTTCACAAGAGAGAAGCATAACAGATGTGTTTAATCCAATGGCACGGGTTCATTCCAGAGGGGTGTCCCAAGACCCAGGGAGACCTGTCCGTTGTGCTTAGGTGTAATGAAGAATGGACAGCCATGTAGAAACGTGGCTGAGTGACAGAGTGTGATGCAGTGGTCACAGAGTGTACTTATACAAACTAAGATGACAATGGCCTCAGCAGGTGATATAAGCTTTTCTCCCCCACCTTTTGTATTAGTGCATTATAGCTGTTCAGAATGGTGGGATTTGTTGTTACATATTCGTGCATGCACATGATGTAATAATAGAATTTGGCTAATATCACTCCCCAGCACTTCCCCCTCCCTCCCTTACTAGGTGATATGACCTTATGGGACCACCACCACATACACAGCCTATTCTTGACAGAAATATCCTAATGACTGTTAAGAACTATATCCATATGCTTATATGTACATCTGTGTGTGTGTATTTATTTTTTCTATATCAAATATTTTTGTCACTTCACAGCAGTTTTGTTCTCAGAACATAAGACCTTGACTTTGCTTTCAGAATTTGACTTACTCTCTTCTTGTTAATTCTTCTTGTTAATTCTCTGTCTGTGAAAGAGAAGTTGGCTTTGGGAGACTTCACAGTTGATTAGTATCACACACACACACACACACAAACACACACACACACACACACACACACCAATTGGTATGATTTACTTCTAATACAGATGAGTTTTCAATTGTGCTCGTTTTTAAGTAAAAATAAATAGAATTCAGTAATTTCCCAAAGCTTTGTTGATATTCATTCATTCATGAGACTGCCCCAACACAAAGACATGATGAGAGTTTGAGGAGGTGGAAATGCTAATCACGCTGATTATGTGTCTAGAACATGGCTAGTCAATCATGTATGACTTTAATATGTATTCCTTATGTCATGTAGTGCCATTCAATAAAAGGGCAAAAGTTATGGGAAAATATGGATGATATTTGCTTTAAAACATTTCAGACTTAGATTAAGCCCAAATTTTGTAAATATGATAGAGACCAGGAAGCACAAATACAATTATGATAATAAAACAGATTTTATTTGGGGGAGGGAGAACTTCATGGGTCTATCAATGGCTGAATGCCAAGTGGGTAGTTAAAAGGAGGCTGAATCCTGGCATCTGTGCCTTCATTTTGTATCAGTCTCCTTCGCCTTAAACTATGAGTCAGATTCCTGCTCAGTTCTGCATGAGGACGTGTTAATCACTTAAGGAGTACCTAAAACCTGGTAGTCCTAAATTTTTTCCTAATCTATCTCACCCCCCTTCAAGTGAAAGACATCAAGATATGAGTAACTACGTTATTTTCAAGATTTGCAGGGTCATTTATCTGCCAGCTTTTACGACGTTCTGTCACAGAGCCCCTGGAGTGGCACCTATACTGGTGACATATAATTTATTGATTCCAGTCATTTCTCTTTTTAAAATTTATTTTTTTTTTATTGGTTGTTCAAAACATTACAATGCTGTTGACATATCATATTTCATACATTTGATTCAAGTGGGTTATGAACTCCCATTTTTACCATCTGCCCCATCTACTGTAATTCATTTCTCTCTCTTGTTTTTTTTGTTTTTTTGGGGGGGAGGGGAATGGAGGGGAGGGGTATAGGAAGGGGATAGGAAAGGTAGCAGAATACAACAGTCACTAGTATGGCAGTATGTATAAACGTGGATATGTAACCAATGTGAATCTGCAATCTGTATACGTGGTAAAAATGGGAGTTCATAACCCACTTGAATCAAATGTATGAAATATGGTGTGTCAAGAGCTTTGTAATGCTTTGACTGGCTCTAGCTCAGTGGTTCCTTTGACACAGAATTTACAACCAGTCATTGCTCTTAACCTGCAGTCATCTTGGATTCCAGAATAACAGAGCCCGGTAGACCACCATGATGAGAGTACCACCCCACAAAAGAGAGCAGTTTCCCACAACAGGAACTGAGACTGCCCCAACACAAAGACATGATGAGTGCTTAAGGAGGTGGAAATGCCAATCACGCTGATTTGAACATTCTTCACTGTGTATATATATGAATTGAATTATCACATTGGACCCCACAACTAAATATCATTAAAAGAAATAATTGCAGTGGAAATACTACAAATATTTCAAAATTCTTGTCATTTCCACTTACTTTATACATCAGTTATTTAATGAATTCATGTTTAGTTTTTGAACCATGCTTATTTTTTTTCATTATGTCTTTACTAGTGACACCTAATTTAATTGATTATACTGGTGACATATGATTTAATTGATTCTAGACGTAGGACTGCTGGGGATGACTCTATTGGACACAACTGTTTCATAGGACCAGGACTTAGGAGTTATCTCAACTCAGGCTTTTCATGCACACTGAGCTGTCGCTTGGCATCTCAATCCCTGTATCCCCATTAGAGTCCCAGCCCCTAGTCTCTGGGATTTCCCAAGGGTACCTTGGTTTAGCTTCCCATCTGCTCTGACCATGAGCTTCTTCTTTATTACTGGGACCTGGGAAATATTCTTTTTTGTTTCTAGTTGAGTTTAATGTCTGTAAAATCTGATTAAATAAGCGTCAGTCTTTACAAGTATTTGCAAAAGCGCAAATGTTTCCATGTTTGATCATTTATTTATCTGATGAAGACTCTGTAGTAGACATTATTCCCAGAAGTTTACACATACTAACTTGGTTGACATCACATCCCTATGTGGTTGCAGAGGATTTAAATGCTTTCTTCCCTGGGATGTCATTTCCCATCACCCTGGGAGATTTTATGTTCATCCTTCTGTACCCTTACTACAATTTGCACTTTTATCAGAGCAACTAATTAAACTCTCAAATTTGTATTCATGTTTCTTTTCCAAATTGATTGTTAAATCACTAAGATAAAAAACAATGTCTTTGATTCCATACAACGAGGACTTATTATAGATTCTGGTATATAAATATTTCAATATATTTTTGCTGATGTTTTTGAAAAGAATAAATTATGTATGAATGAAAGCCAGCTTTAAAGTAACATCAGAGTTTCTATTTACCTGTGAATGATTTCTCCACAGGTCATATAAATCTAGCTTCCATACAAGTTGTTCATTTTTTATTCAAGAAAATAATAACTATCTTCTTTCTATGACTAACATTGAGCAAACAAACTTTAAGTTGTAATAAATCCATATATTTCAGAAACCTATTTATAAATGCAGTGTGATCTAAACCTTCCAAAAATCATATTAAATATTTTCTTAGGTCAATTAGGATATTTTGGAATCTTTTTCAGCTACTCATGCAGGAATAGTAATGCAACCGGATGCAGAAATAAAAAAGTGAAACAGTTTAAGAGTTTGCAGAAGAAAATATGACCATCATACAATCAATCATGGAAAACTGATAATAAATAAAAGAACAAATCTCAAGGGTCTATTTGGGTGCTGGGCACAGTAATTAGGATATACATGGGCTCTAGAACTGGATCTGAATTTTAACTATGGAACAACTACATCTTTAGTTTTGTAACTTAGAACATGGTACTACCTTGATCTATTTTCTTCCTTTACAAAATGGGGATAATATTGTTTACATTTTGAGGCTGGGTTGATGATTAAATGAGATACATTATGTGAAAGCCCCAGGCATAGTTACTGGCAGTCACAGGCATTCAATAAATTAGTTAATACCTTCCATTCTTACCAATGCCTCAAGTAATTCCTTGCAACATCAAGGAATACTCAAGTAATTCCTGAGTATTTGCTCAGTCTCTTTGGTTATAACACTTGGATTATATAATTTTATGTATCACCTTTTAGAAAGCAATGGGATATTCTTTTGTCTTCTTTCTAAATAAGAGTGTGGTAAAAGCTAGCAGGTTTATGTCCTAATGGGAAAACATACAGGAATTAATTTTGAGAGCTACATATTTTAACATTTATTTAAAAAAGTGCTTTAACATCTCCAAAAGTTGTATTATTTCGCTATTTCAAAATAGTGTTGATGGGATTACTTTTAAAGATATTGAATGATTTTCCTGTCTTCAGAAAGTAAAATATTTTCTTCCCTAACTATAATAGTTCTTTAATATCAATCTTATGGTCCTTTATAAAAATTAATGAACGTTGGAGTACTTTAATTATAGCCGCACTTTATTTTTATGTTACAAATGTTCTGTAAGGGATATGATAAATTGAAGTTCTATTTGCCTTTAATATTGATTTCAATATTAAATAAAAGGAAAAAGTTTGAATTTCCTAACTCCTATTAGTGTAATACCTATTTAGTATAATAACAATAATAAAAATGATGGGGATTAGTATTAAATATTTAAAATACCAATTGGATGAAAAAAACCATCTCAAAAAATTAGTTTGACCAAGGCTACCTGGGTGGTCCATGTAAAGCTGGGATCCCTACTGTACCTTGTTTTCCCTATTATACATAACAGATTATAATAAGCTAATTGTCCTGTATATACTTCAACTTTTAAAAGTGATTTACAGTGATATATTGGACTTAAAGATCATTTATTTTAAAGGCTATTATTTGGTTTTTGATATAAAACACATATATCATTGGAATCGACATTACCATGTGACAGTCAGTAGTCTGGGAGAGGAGAAATACACACTGGCACACAGACTCTGAAGGCGAGGAAAAAAATCAAAGTAAACTCACATTTTTAAGAATGCCTTTGGCAAATTTCAAAGTCCATGTATGGGCACCATTCTCTTCCACTAAAAGGAAGAGAAAAGATTTTGCCTTGGTTGCAGATGGTGTTGAGATGGATGGTATAGCAAGAGAGGCCCTCCAGCCACTTGGAACAACTTGTGAGAAAGTATGGGTGGAGGGCATGGCAGCCACTCAAGTCTGGGAGGGCACAGAAGGAGGAGACAGCTGCCAGGCACAGCCTAGAGCACAAAAGGCCATGAGTACCCCCTGCAGGGCTTTTAAATTTTCCTATGGTTGAAGCAGAATCGATAAAGTAGTTTTAAATAGTTTGCAATGAGCAAAGTCACTCTGATACCAATGTGAAGGGCCACTGGAGAGGAACAGGCTGGAGGGAGGAGTAGGCTGTTGGAATAGCACAGAGCCTGAGTCAAAGCAGTGGGGACAGGGAGAGTAAAGAGGCCTGGAACTCAGAGAATAAGAGTCGTATGTCATCAATAGAAAGTTTGTCTTGTTTTGGAGTTCAATTAATAATGACTGGTTAAGTGCAAAAAGTCAATGAAAACAAAGTCAACTAATGCAGTAAGAAATAATCTGGTAACAACTGCTGACATATTATTGCACCACATACCCAGTCATCTTCTGTAAGAGTTTGTTTAAATTGGAAAAAAAAAAAAAATCTTACCTAAGGTCTTGAAATGGGTCGGCTCTGACAAGGGGTGTCTCCACCGAGTGTTCAAAAAGAGCTCCTTCAGGCCCTGAAAAACAAAAACAAAAACAAAAAAAAAAACAAAGATGTGTTCAGAACCAAAGCAAAATTAAGTGGCATCAAAGAAATAAAACTTTCATTCGACACAGGTTGAGCATCCCTAATCTGGAAATCCAAAATACTCCAAAATCTGAAACTTTTTGAGCACTGACATTGGTGTCACAAGTGGAAATGTCTACACTGGACCTTATGTGAGAGGCCACATGCAAATCGTATAATGTTACCTTCAGGCTATGTGTTTAAGGAGTATATGAAACAAACAAACAAACAAAATGTGTCTTCAGACTTGCTCCCATCCCCCAGATTTCTCATCATGTATTAAATTTTTTTAAAAATCTGAAACATTTCTGGGCCCAAGCACTTTGGATAAGGGACACTCAATCTGTAGATTTTGTTGTTTGTTGCTAAATTTGTACAGATGTTTCAGTCACAGAAAAAAAAAAAGGCACAACTTCTTCTTTACTTTTCTAGACTACAACAGCATCCTATCAACGAAATGTGATTTTCAAAGTGATTCAAAATCAGTGGGTTTATTTTTAAACTAGAGTACGATACCTGTATCAAAATGAAAAGAAATAATTCCTGTTAAAAAATGCATTTGCATTTATGTTGTAGGCAACAATAAGTTAACTGTCTAGATTTTATGTGTAAAAGTTGTGTTGTGCATTTATTTCTAATGCATAGAATAATTTAAAAATTAAATATTCAAAATAGACCTGCTAATTTCTAGCAATTGGTACATTACCATTTTCATTAGTTTAAGAACTAATTGCATGCCAGACATTCTGTCATTTGGGGTGCAGAGATAGACAGTTGAAAATGACACACTGTTATGTCCTAACTTGTTTAATACTTGAGCCTTATGAAGTAGATAATATTTTCTCAACAAGGAAACTGAGGAACAGAGAGGTTAATTTGCTTTCCTAGGTTAAGACAGTTCAATGCAGAGTTGTAATTTGAATTTAAAGCCCACATTTTAATCTATAAGCTGTTGGGTTTCTCATACAAAAATAAACTATAGATGTTTGATAGAAAGCAATGTGCCAGGAGCAAAGTGCAGCACAGTTATTTGGGTGGTCATTAGCAGGGAAGAATTCCTTTACAAGAGCTGGAAAGACTTGATATGAAAAAAAACATTTAGTCTGAATCTTAAAGGGCATGGACATTTATGAATGTCTGTAGCTCATGGGCAAGAGCTACAAGACTGCAAGATAAACTGTAATCTGGGGCAGGAAAGTGTCATGAGTACACATCATGGAAATGTAAAAGATCCAAGATGTAAATGCAACTTCATTGTTCATCTAAAATATTTCTCCTCTTGAATTTTATGGATAGACATGTCTGCATGCACCTGTCATGATTTACCTTGGTGGCAGGAGCCTGGCTCAGGCCCTACCCCCCTAGTTCAGGCCCTGCCCATCTCAGGCCTCCTCTGGTTTAGGCCCCTCCCTGTTCTTAGGCTGCTGCTGTAGTTCACAAGTAATTTATATCTCCCTCTTGATTCCACAGGGATCTCAGAACCCATCCTCACATGGTACAGACTTTCTTCTATAGGAAACCCTGCAACAATTAAAATGTTTATAGAAAATAAATCTATCATTGTACTGGTTTTGATATTGGGCATTCAAAAACAAATGTGTTTGTGAAAGTTTCCTGGACTAGGTTGGGAAATTATCCTGGGCTAAAGGTCTCAGCAGCAGCCCTTGCTAATTTAACGATTCCTAATACCTTCACTTTTCTTTTTTCTATGATGGGGACCAAACTCAGGGCCTTACACATGTTAGGCAAGCACTCTATCACTGAGCTACACTCTCAGCCCCAAAAACCTTCATGTTTTCTCCACAATAGTACTAACTATATTAGCTTTGTTATTATAATTACTATTTTCTTTGTGATTTTACTTAAATGTGAAGACATGACAAAATATCACATTGAAAGCTCTCATTTAAGAAATAATAGCTTATAGTACATAAGTAAAAGAGATTTAAATCAGCACAAAATGAAATTTTAAAATTACAACCAGATTTAGTAGCATGATTTACATAAAAACTAGCATCAGCTGAAATAAAGGAACACATAAATGAAGGTTAATGGTTCATGAAAATTATAATTAATGCAAATTATATTCAGATGAGAAACAGATCCCAGTATATTCTATAACAAGTCACATCTCTTTAAACTACCACTTAAGCAAACCTAAATGATAATGGGGACCATTATGTAAAGTAAGGCTATACTAAGCATTGGAGTTTCCACAATGAATTGTGCCAATCAAATTTTATAGTACAACGTTTGGTTCGCCTGAGTGTAGACAACATTTTGTGTTTGGTGGAGGCAGAAAATAACTCAGTAATTTGTATGATATTTGTACATCCTCTTTATTTTTTTTTCTTTCCTCTGCTTCTGATTTGCAAGATATAAAAGAAAAAGTAAAGAACATCACAAATCAATCATTAGGCAGAGATATGCTAAGTATAGTTTTATATGAGAAGCAGATTTTTGTGTGGTTTAAATATCATCGTTGAGACATGAACAGTGCTTTGTTATGAGAGACCTAGGATGAGCTTTACAAATACAGATGGTCCCCAACTTAGGATGGTTCTTTGTATAATTGTTTAAATTTATGCTGGTGTGAAAGCAATAGTCATTCGGTAAAATCAGTACTTGAATTTTGATCTTCCTAGAATCATGATATGTGGCCCCATGCTCTCTTGAGATGTTGGGCAGTGGCAATAAGCTGCAGCTTCTGGTCAGGCCTGTGATCACACAGTTACTGTGTGTAAAATAGGCTGGATGTTAGATGATGTGGACCAGCTGTAGACTCATTTAATTGTTCTGATCACTTTTCAGGTAAGCTAAATTAATCTGGGAAGCTTGGTAAGTTAGATGCATTGAAAACATTTAATTTGCAATATTTCCAACTTATGATGGGTTTATTGGAATATATTGTAAGTCAAGGAGCACATATAATTCAAAAAATAATTTCTTTCCATAACTAAGTAATAGAAATGAAAGGAATATGGACCTTAAACTCTTATGTCATATTTATCTATTTTTATAGAAACAAAAAAGAAGTGTCAAAACATTTTAATCTCTTCAAAAATATACCCTTTGTAAAACCAAACTGGAAACTGTAGTGTATTTCAATTGCACAAGCAATTTTTTTCCTGGAGTGGGGATTGAACTCAAGGCTTTGTCTACCACTGATCTACACCCTCAGGCCATTTTTATTTGAGGATAGCTTCAATTCTTTTCCCCCTAAAAGCTGAAATTATTCAGTGTCAGTGGCACTATTTTTACAAAGAAATATAACTCAATAATCGGTTTTTACATACATTGCTTTGAAATTTAAAATTTTCGTTACTTCTGATATGATCATGATTAGTGATCTTGTCACATGATGGTAATGTACATATAGGCAGATATACAACCTTTAAATAAGAGCAGCAGTTTCTCTATCACTGAAATTGTAAATGCCCCCATTATATGATCTTAATTATGTCATTACCATTTAGCCTCAAAGTATATATACTCCTCAGAACCTATTTGCATATAATAAAATGAATTTCCTTGCATGACTTCATAAAATGATTCTCAATAAGTGGCTTTTCATCGTCAGTGTAAATATATTTCCTTTATTTTTGCACTCCAATTTCAATATTCCCAAACAAAATTTTGATTAAAAATATAATTGGCAAAACACTTGTTCCTTGTAGAAAATAAAACACATTTATTTGAGATCATATAACCTAAATTTTATGTAGGAAAAAGAATTCTACAATAAGATAGATGACATTAATTAACCCATGCATTAAAGTAATCCTCTTTAAAATGTGTATTGTTAATTCTGGAAAGTACAACCTAAAATGAAAAAAAAAGTACAAAAGACAAATCCTTGTCTTTATAATGCTAACTTCTTAATTTTTTAAAAGAATATGTCACCAAGATTAGACATGATAGATGGTCTGGTCATTTCTACAGGGAAGTCGTAGTATCTATATAACATCATTCTTCTCTTCTGGATTCTAGAACATTTTATGATAAATGACACTCATGTGGAGCTTTGTATGTAGTAAGACTGTGGTAGAAGATGTTTTGAAATGGTGGTGAAAGCAGGTGAATCATTCATGTAATAGTGTCCAGCAGTCAGGGTCAGAACCCAACTGGGGGGGGGAAATGGCTCCTGTTTGCTCCATTCCTCCCAACATGCTGCTATTTCTAGGTTCTTTCAGTTACAGGGAAAAAAACAACAACCCAGAATTTACTATTAATAATTCTATTCAAATAGTAGGTAATATCCACTCAGATTTTTGTATCTAAACTGATAACTATTGAGGTTCATGCCACATATTCACTGAACACTTCATGGACTGATACCGGCTTTTCAATTGAAACAAAATAATACCATTGCCCACCTTAGTGCCAAACTTCCACATAAAAGCTCTACTACCTCCCATTCTACTCACATTATAACCATTTCAGCCATCTCTGGCCTTTCATAAAAATGCTCTTGTCAAGATAGCAGTGACTTCCATGATGACATACCCAAGGATAGTTTCTGTCATTTTCTTTTGGTTCCACATTCTGGGAGCATGGGCTCTACTGGTACCAGGAACACGGCTACCAAGATGTCCCTTCCACCACACTGTCTCCCCTTTTCACCCCCCCACCCCCCTAGGCTCTCTTCTTTATGGCCTCTAATGTCGGCATTTTTTTAGAGCTCAATTGGTGCAGGAAGCTCCTTTGTATCTCCAGCCTCGACTTTTGCTCTGAGCAATAACTAGATCACATACCCAATAGCTACAAAACTGACACATCCACGTGGCTGTTTCACAAGTATCTTCAACTTACATACCTAAAATATGAAAAGTTAATGCCTTCTGCTGTGCAAATGTATTCTTCTCCTCAGGCTTAGCCATTTTCCAGAGAGTAATGCCATTATCCAACAAAAAACATCATCTTCAATTCTCTCCTGGGTTATGTGCCACC